CACCTTTGCCTGTCAGCCAGCCTCATGAACATTTTTAGTTAAGAAACCTTACTGGCTCACAAAATGATAAGAAATTCAATAGGAAATAAGATATTCCTGGAACTTCTACCATCAGTACTACATTTTCTTTCTAGATTTATGCAGAATGAGTCTAATCTGTATTCTCTCTGTGGACCTGTTAAATAATTCACATCCTCATGAAATCTGTTAAAGTTATTTTGAATTCTGATTCAAAATATTATGACATCCTTCCCTATATTATGTGTTATTTATAGCTCTGTACCCTCTGCAGATTTGATATGCATAACAAATGTATGGTTAAGAGCTTTGGAGTCAGAGAGGCTGAGGTATGTATCCTTATTCTGTTACTCACTAGTTGTGTAATCTTGAGAATATTCCATAATCTTTTAAAGTCTCAGTATTCTCATCTATAAAATGGAATTATTACATTTCTTTAAAAAGAAGAGAGAATATGTTAGATATGAATGCAGACTAATTACGATAGTGCAAAAAGTTAAGTTACTCAATACATGGTAGGGAAAATAATGGAAATAATAATTACTATTCTGTATTTTAAAAATTTTGATTAAATATCAACTAAAAAAGTCCAAGTTGGATAGGTCCAAGTTGGATAATGTTTAAGTCAGTCAGGACTTTCAATTATAAAGAATAATTTCTTTTTGTGAAGAGTCCCTGAGTGGTTTTGTGAAGATTAATTCGGTTTAACTTCTTTGCTGGCTGAGTGACCTTTATACATTTACTTCTTGCATGCCTGTTCCCTTCTTAAGTGAGGATAATGGTCCTTATCTGGAGGTGAGAGTTACATTTCATTATGGATTCAAAAGGAATTTGTGAACTTTAAATAGGTTGGGCAATCCTACTTCCATAGTGATACTGCCTTGGAAACCCAAGGAGGGGTCGCTATGAGTCGGGGCCGACTGGACGGCACACAACAACAACAACAACAATACAAACGTAGTAAAGTGTTATTATTTGAGGTCTGTTCCCATAGTTTAATCATCTCTTTTAGATTTCTGGAACAGGAGTGCTATTCCTGATCATCTTCTCTTGTTACTTTCTCTTGAGAATTATTGAGTATTTCTAATCTTATTTTTCTTTCTAAGTCATATCTGCCATTTTCCACATTATTTAATATTATGTTATTACTTAAGCATTTTCTCTTGTCCTTCACATTTAAATTTTTAGGCAAACTGATTAGGCTACTATTGAATGCTATGGATGCTGTAAACAATTCTATTCAGTGTTACCTTTAGTGCAGGTAGATACTCTTTTCTTAGATTTCTCTATTTCACATTAAACTGGCACCAGAAATCAAACTTCCAGTGTCCCCACATATTTTCATTTCCTCACTAGGGCCTCACGTCATCAGACAAGTGTACTTCCAGCATCTTTGGTTGGAGTATTCATGGCTATCTTTGACCCAAGACTCTCATGGAGCCTTCTGATTTTGGCCCCTGAATGAGCAAGATCTCTGTCCTTTCTTCTTCTTTGCCCACTCTTCCCGCTTCCCTCAATTGCTAAAATGTTGATGGCCACAATATAAGTTATTGTCCAAACCCTGGCACCGTATAATAGGCATAAACGGAAACAGTCCCAGGCAAATTGTAATTTAGATTGACCTAATTATAACCAGAGACAACAAAGGGCTCAGCATCCAATTATAGTTTTAACTGAATGGCATAGAAGTTAAGGTGTAAATCTCTGTAATTTAAGTGAAATATTAAATTGTACTCTAAGTACCATAAAGTAGACAAAATAAATTATATGCAATTAAATTTAAGGTAGACCCTGAGATACTATAAGTATTTGTTTTGCATATAAGATATGATTTTAATTTATTATAAATTTGTCTTTTATGAAATTAATCATATGCTTACTATAACAAAGATTAATTAAATTCTTAATTAAAAATTTTATACTTGCCATTTTTTATTTTAGTGGAGCTTTTGCATGCAGTGATTTAAAGATCTCTGTTATCTTAAAGCACTTGTCAGCTAACCGAAAGGTTGGTGGTTTGAACCTACCAGCCACTCCATGGGAAAAAGATGTGGCAGTCTGTTTCCATAAAGATTTATGGCCTTGGAAACCCTATGGGACAGTTCCAGTCTGTCCTGTATGGTTGCTATGGGTTGGAATTGACTTGATGGCAGTGGGTTTGGTTTTGGGTTATCTTTTGAAAGACTGTTCAAGGAAATATAACAGATATCTTTTTTCTTTTTCTTCACACATTTCTCAGAGATAACAAAGAATGTTCATAGTTTTCCCATTTCCATCCATCTATCTGTTGGGAGCTCTGGTGGTGTAGTGCCTAAGGCATTTGACTTCTAACCAGAAGGCTGGTGGTTCAAACCCACCAACCACTCCTGGGAAGGAAAGTTGGGCAATCTACTTCTATAGTGATACTGCCTCAGAAACCCAAAGAGGGGTCACTGTGAATCGAATCTGACTCCACGGCAGTGACTTTGGTTTATCTATCTGTTGCTCCATTTATCTGTTCATGAGCAGCTACTATGCACTGGGCCCTATGCACTGGGAACACGGCCACCAATGAGTCTCTGTTTCTTTGTATCTATCTGTGTTTCAGCTTTGTCTTTTGTTTCTTTATTTCCCTCTATTTCGCCTTCTCTTTTTTTTCTCTTTCTCTTGCTCGTGATTTGAAGCAAACTGTTGTGGAATCAGGTCCTTTAGTTGCTGTATCCAGCAAAGGATTTGACTATTCAGGTTAGATTTATAAAAAGTTTTTATTAGGAGGGAAAAAATACATCTGTGACCCATTCTTTTTAAAAAACAAAAATTAAAAAAAAAACTTCAGAAAAATTCAGTTATTAATAAAGAAAAGGGTAGTTGCCTCCATCAAGTTGCAGTAATCCTTTTGAAATATCTCTATTTCAGAAGCTTTTATATTTAAAGTTGCTGATGTTACTTTACTCTTCTTTTTTGCTCTCCTAGAGGTGCATAGATTATCACTACAAACTGGATTTGGTGTCTAAAATGAAGCCATGGAGCGTTGAGAGTATGGAGGATAGTGATTTAGAACTGAAAAAATGAGTGCAAATTGGGAGGAGGAGGGATTATCTAATGGCAAGAGATTTGGCTCAAATAGTAAGCAAAAGTCTTATGAACTATCTTAAGGAGCTTGAACTTTATCCTAATACTAAGGGAGTGGCATGATCCTATATGTCTGTTAGGAATCTGATTAATCTCTTAAGAAGGTTGTTTAGAAGGGAGGTAGGTATGAAAGATGTGAGTTAAAGCTAGATAAAAATCTAGAGAATTGTAAGTAACCTGAGTAGGATATGGAAAGAAGTGTATGGATTCCAAGAACAGCAGATTTGGTCATTGCCTATGGGATTGAAAGGGTGGCAGGGGTGGTTATACATTGTTCCAGTGTTTCTCTGACTGGACTTTGGAGGATGGTAGTGTCCTTTACTGAAATGAGCATTCAGCAGGTCTTCACTCAAGCCTTGTGATTGCAATCAAAGTTGATATTAATCTGCTAGAAATAATCATCGTAACATCTGACGACCCAGATCCCCTCACTGTTGTTGTTGTTGTTGTTATGTGCCGTCGAGTCGGCCCCGACTCATATAGCGACCCCTCCTTGGGTTTCCGAGGCAGTATCACTACGTCGAGTTGGCCCCGACTCATATAGCGACCCCTCCTTGGGTTTCCGAGGCAGTATCACTACGGAAGTAGGATTGCCCAACCTTCCTTCCGAGGAGTGGCTGGTGGGTTTGAACCGCC